AGAGGGAACAAGAGAGATATTTCTCTCCTTTAATGCATGCCCTATAAGTCTTCATCATCATTCCCCCCACATAAATGCCAAACCCCCAAAGTTTTCTTCATCATTTTCTTTGGTTTCTTTGTCATAAATGCAAGAAGGGCATTTTGGTAATTTCACAAGGTATAAAAATACTTATACGCGTATACGAGCTAGAATTTCGTACGGGCTCGTATAATCAAATTTGGGCTCAAACGGATTATGAATGGGCTTGAAAATGCTAATGGGCTCAAACTTGGGCTTGAATTGAAATTGGGCTTGAAATTGGGTTCAATGGGCTAAATTGGGCCACTTGGGTTTGCCTTGGGCCCATGTGGCCGAATCACATTGGGCTTGAGGCCCAATGTGCCTTCATCCGGCCCACTTCCTCGTGGGCTCAAATTCTCGGCCCGCTAAATCCTTTTCCGAGAATTTCGAGTAAACCGATAAACGAGCAAATCAATGAGGCGGTGTCCCATAATTTAGTTTTGAAATCCTCGAAGATTCGACATCCAAATTCGGATTCTAATTCGTGGTAAAAATCAATCAATTGCGACTTTAGTATATCTCAAACTAACGGGCGGCTTTTAGGAGTTACGCGAATTCGACCCGTGGTTGATTCGGTATCAAACCACGTTTAAGTTTTCTCAAACCATGGATGATCTCGATTGTCATGTAATTGCGAGGGATCAATCGTTAGTTCCAAAGTACGCGATCATCAGTCAATGGGTTTAGGATCGTTCGCAATACATACAACGGTCAAACGGAATCACCCGCGATCCGATTGTATGCTATTGGCGAATCATTCTATAACCATCCCTTGATCGGTCCATAATGGCTCAAAATTGTCCCTCGTCAATCCTTATGGTCGAATTGTCAATCCCTGATCGAGTTCTCAGGTCGTGCGTACTTAATTCCTTAACAGCCTTTCCCAATCGGTTAGTCTCTCATGAGTGATCAATTCAGAGCGAGAATTACTAATAATGCATCGATTAAAATCATCATTTCATTACATTCCGAATAGGGTCGAATTTGAGGATGTCACACTTTTTCCATAAGTCAATGATTAAAATTGTTTAACCAAAGTTGTAGATGATATATTTTGATGTTAGTACAAATTAATAAGAATTAAAACGTGAATGTGCTAGGGCACGAAGGACGAGGACGGCAGTAAATTATTGACCTAATGTAACTTATAATGAAGTAGCTTTATAAAATTTCAGGAATAATATCACTATCAAACTTCTTGCTTCAGGGCACAACCGACGAAGACCTACCATTTCGGGAATAATATCACAATTGATTGCATAAAATATTACATGCAATTCCTCGTGTTCAGGTCACCCATATGGTGTTTTGACCAATGTCTTATCCAATTGTGGAGATTAGTCAGATATTTTATGGATTCGGAATTTGCAGTTTCCTCGCTGTATTTTTTTTTTAAAAAGGAAAGAAAGCGAACCTAAAAGACGAAATATTGGAGACGTAGTACACGTGGAAGCAACTTAACATTTCAAATATTTTATAAAGTATCAACAGATTAACTGTCTTTTTTTTTTTTAGAAAGGGAAAATTCTTGGCTCGTGCGGTTAAACTTGGGTTACGTGGGAATAAAGAAACGTCAACAATGGGCCGAGCGGCATCGTCGGACGAATTTCCACGGATTGATTTGTTATTATTTTCCTCCTTTGTTTTGTCCTCCTTAATTGCAGAAAATAGTCCATGTGATGAGGACGAGGACGATGACGACAATATCTCTCACCGGAAAATAATTAAGTATATCTAATGCATGTACTAAACTGAATTTAAATCATCAGATTGATGAGTTCCACATGAGTCAAACGAATACGAAACCCACCATTTTCGATAATCCGGTTCAATTTAGTACCTATGCTACTTTTATTTCATAGTTTCTTCCCCAACAATTTCATTATGTGCTGCACTTTGCATCCTTTATCTCCGTTTTTAATTAAGGGAAAATTATATAAGCCCTCTAAATTCCGGAAGTGATATGCATTTTGTTGTGAACTTTCAATCGTCGCTCCTAAACTTTCACTTTGTTATGTCCTCAGAACTTTGTCTGCTTTTACGTCAACCGACATAAGAACTCAAAAGATAACATATACAGATTGATAGTTTTTGGGACGAACACATGCCCTCTATCCCCTAAATTTGAAAAGATCGCATAAGTTGTCCTTTAAACTATGTACGTTTTTCATGACTCGCGAGTCTTAAAAAACCATGCACTTTACCCCTGAAATTTAAGATAACTATAACGATAGATGATGCAAAGTATTGGTTTTTTTTCTCCCTACAATTATAATTTTACGATGCATCATAACGGTGTGGAGGGATTTTTTTTTGGCTATTTTCAGATTTGGTGACCTGGTATCTAAAACTCTAGCCCATTGTGCGAGGCCTAGAGAATACAAAGTATAAACCTAACATAGCGGAAACATTAGGTCACACGTGTTTAACAAGAAGTCCATGCTTGATTCAACCATCCTAAGAGATTGGGCTTAATTGCGTACATCAATGACAGTGGCGATGCAATAGCTGGATACATGAGATAGTTAGATGTGTACATATGAAACATTCAAATGTTTCGCATTTATCTTTTCTGTCCATATTAAAAATTTCGCAACTAAAAGTTAGCACATCTAAAAGTTAGAGCATCATATGAATAATGCTCTACTCACTAGAGCTTTGTCTAAAGTCTCGTTAGACGATGGTAGGCATATAAAAGGCGACTAGTAATAAGTTGTCTCGTTAATTGATAGGGTTTGTTTCAATTTTTTAGTAGTTGTCCACTTAAATATTTAAGGTTTAGTAGGATAAATTTTCTTATTTGTTTATCTATATCCTGTCTTAAACTTAGAATTTCACTAGTTTTTTTTAGATAAAAATATAGATTATGTACTCTTGTAATTTAGCTTATTCTTTAAATGAACAATACAAAAAAAAAATTGATAAATTTCTCTCTGTGCGTTTCATGCGTGTATGCTCCTTGCGTGCCTCTGCGAGTTGTTTGCTCGTGCAGCAAATTGTGAGTCTTTCCACTACATCAATTGGCATCAGAGCGGAAAGATCACGGGCAGCGGTGTTTGGTACCGTGAAAAAAAAAAAATACGAGATGTCATTTACGAGGACCAATAGTGCAATTATGACTGCACATGAACCATCAATCGCGGTATGTGTGTGAATTGCGACCTAATTTGTAACTTGTTGATGTGCAACAATTTTTTTCCCAAAAGACTATTCACTTATAACTCCTAACATTAATGAAAAAATGAAGGGATTAGGCAATATATTTAAATTGCACAACATCTACGGCCAGACATATATACATACATAGAATGTTTCATCTTAATTGTGACTTTGTCGGTATATTTCATGTTAATAGTAAATTCACTTATAAGAACCGATGGAAACAGTGACCCATCAGGAAGTCTAGTGGCTAGACCAATAGAATGCGCCTATTATTTACTCTCAAAATGTCCAAATTTTATTGGAAGCGGCTGGTGACATTATATATAGCAAATTTAATCTGACATTTCGGCTTCTCCATTTTTATAGGTGGCGCACGCTTACGGAATACTACTAAGATGTCATTGCATCTAGCTTGTGAGTATAATATTGATTGGTCCTGTTGTGTATTCACAAAAAGAGGTAGATGACGCTCCCTATTTGCTTCATCATGCAATACCGTCGTTTTCTCCATGAGGGAGGTCACTCTTTTATCTTTTCTTTGCATGTGGCCGGAGCTTTATGCTTTGAAGAGGAGAAGCCTGGGCAGGATGGAAATCCATTGAAGTGCTTTTGTTTTGCTACAGCATGTTTTTTCACCACCTGATCGTCATATTGTTCTCATCGATGATTTTCCATGAATAGGCTCTACGGCTTTAGATTGGAGTTGTAAAAAGATTTTCACCATACAATCATGCTAATGGGCAACAGAGAGAGAAGAACCATTTTTATGGAGACATGTCGTCTTTTCTGATGGATTACGAGTTGAAGAAAATACCAAAGTGTTGGAGGTCATAATGGTTAAGTCTCTCTCGATCAGAGGCAACGTGTTCAATCTAATGACGTACCTTGTTAAGCATTCACGGCTGGACATCATCGAAATTCGTCTCCTTCATACTTGGAATCATGACCAATTAAGTTACACACGAGTAAAATCACCAGGACAAGTTATGGTCAGCGTCCCATCTTCAATACACATTCTTCTCGTACGACATGATTAGAACATTATTTCTTTCCAGACATTCGAGAGAAAACAAAACGGAAACCAGAGACAGAGGAGACAGAGCACAGAAAGAGATTTTTGATTGAGCCTATTGGATTGGCTGGCAACATCCGACCTCCGCCGCGCCATTTCCAGCCAAGCCAATGGCCCCGTGCTCGCCCTCCTGCCACGCGCCTCCATCGACTCGCTCTTCACCAGCACTGGCATCGGCAGCAAGCCAAGCGGGATGGGCCCGGGCCCGTTGAACCTGTCCCGCTTCTTGGAATTTAGGCCAATCTCGATTTTTGCTGACTTGGATATTCCACAACATGAGTTTTGCTGTACTAGTCAGCTTCGTTATCCACAAGTTGCCCTTAAAGCCATTTTCGTAAATTGTTTCACGATGGCAAACAAATTGATTTTTAGTAGGAGAGGATGAAACTAGCATATTACTCCAGGTACCTGCAGTAGTTTTCCCTAAAAGTGACAAACTATGAGTATACATCTATAAAATGGAAAAATTATGTTCAGATATTTAAATATGCGAGCTCCGAAAAAAGAAGAAGAAACATATAGTGCCTCAATGATGTCTACTTTTATTTTGTTCGAAATAGAAATCATCATCGAAAAACTGTTGTACTGCCTTTCTCATTTATTACCAAGAGTAGTGTTGTACATTTATTTACGTTCAATCATGTCAAACGGTGTCATTTCAAGAGGGATCTCGAGTTGCAATGGAAATTTTACATTTGAGAACAAATGAAGTGCGTTGGCAAAGTAAGCAATTACCAAAATGAGTTACTAAGCCAAATGTATCTAGACGAGACCTTCAGGTCAATTATATGTTGAAACTTGGCATCTTCGAAGGGAGTTTGGGAGGCTTTGTCGTTGAGTTCAAAACGGCCATTACCTCTTCAATCGAAGGCCGAGAACTAGCAATGGGATGAGCACACCACAGCCCCAGAATAATCAAGGCCTCCACCTGTTTCTTGTCGAAATCCTTGCCGAGCCTCTCGTCCACCGGAAGGAGAAAATTCCAGAACCTACGCCCCCACCAACTCTCGCACCCGCAACGCTTCCAAACCCACTGAACAAGGCCTAGGCCTTGCTCTACTAGTTCCGGGTCGAAGACTCTTCTCCCACATACTATTTCCAAAAGGACCACCCCGAAACTATAGATATTAGATTCCTTACTTGCCTTGCCCGTTCGAAGGTATTCCGGAGACAAGTAACCCGGTGTTCCTTTCACTTGGGTAGTGTTTGGGTCTCTGGTGTGGTCGACTAGCTTAGCCAGGCCGAAGTCTCCCAATTTGGCCTCAAACTCTTCATCTAGCATGACGTTGCTGGATTTGATATCCCTATGGATCACGCATTGATAACATTGTTTGTGCAGGTAGTGCAACGCTAAGGCTAATCCCAGAGCGATGTTGTACCTCCTTTCCCATGTCAACAAGGGTCTGCCTTTAAACAGATGATCCTCCAAGCTACCTCCTCCAATGAATTGGTAAACCAGGACGAATTTATTCGCCTCGTGACAATAGCCTAAAAGTCGCACCAAGTTTTTGTGCCTAAGTTGGCTTAACGTCATCACCTCAGATTTATACTCCTCTAATCCTTGGCGTGAATCAGAGTTTATTATCTTCACAGCGACCCGTGTGCGAGCATCTCCTATGTGCCCTTCGTACACGATGCCAAAACCTCCTTTTCCCAGAATCTTGCCGTCTGCAGTTGCAATAATCAACTCTTCGTAGGAGAACTTCTTCAGTCCACTCAACTTTTCAAACTCTTCGGTTAATTTCACGCTATGGCCGCCTTCTTCTCCACCTCTCTCGGTCTTGGTTTTGTTCTCTTCGGTGGTCTTAGGTGCATTATTTCCCTTTGGCATATCATTGCTTTGATATGGACGGGCAACTTTTGACCTATAACTTTTGACCTCTTGAATCATATCTGCCGAAAGTCTCGAAGCCGAGGACGTTGCAGCCTCCATGGCCGCCGGGAGGGCCACAGCAGCTCCGGCAGCTAAATAGCTCAGCAATTCATGGACTAAACGTTGATAATGGAGCAATGGGTACTCAATCACAGTGGAATCGGACTCTGCGTATTTATGCTTGTTAAACAGAACCACCGTAGCCAATTCCTTCTGAGTAAACTCAACACCTTTGGGGAGACCCGGTGTGCCGCAGTAGTGCAAGAACAGAGCTACATCCGAGGGAACGTTGCCGACATACAAGTCAAGACTCGGCCTAATGTTAGTCGAAGAGAGAGTGATATTGGAATCGGCCGAGTGAAGCTTGGCGGTTAGGTGGGGGATGTTTAGCTTGGAAGCAGCAGATTGAGCCGGTCGGTTTCCTTCTTGTGGTGTCAATAGGAGATTCGATTCCGAGTTGGAAAGGTAGCGCTCGAACTCCTCAGCCGTGTAGGTTGGGTCAAGCGGAGCCGCTATGGCTCTGCAACGAATTACTGCCAGAAACATGATCACAAACTGCAAAACAAACACATTTCCAATCAGCAAAGTATCATGCTAGTCCCCGCGGAATGGAGATACGATAGGCAGACAACTAGTTTGTCACCGGTTGATTCCATTAAAATCATCCAGAGCTTACCTTTTTGTAGATAAATCGATGCTTGAACATCCCAAAAACAACCTTTGGACACGACAGGGTATGCTCCTCATGATGTCGAAGCAACCACGCGCTCACAGAAATTTCATGCCTCAAATGCAATTTCTTTTAATGGGAATTGACACTATTTCCGTCGCGCTGCTCTCGAAGTACTATAAAACACCAACAAACGTCTTTTTTTTTTTCAAGCTATTTCCTAGTCGATCTTTGACAAGCGATCGATGATGAGCATTTTCGAATTTAAACCGCATCATCTGGAAATTCACATCATCGCACAAACGAAAACTTGCAAAAAATCGATGATCCGGACATACCTCGATGGTGTTGGGGAAAGCGAGCGCGACGACGGCACCGATGCCGACGATACGGGTGCGGAGGAGCATGGCGGCGTGATCAACGAGCTCTTGCAGCCGCGCGTGCGTCAGGTCGAACTTCCCACAGGTGGAGACGGCTGTCCTCTTGGGGAAAGCCAATGCCGCCTTCTTCAACAGGCCTGTGACCGTAAGTTCTGCCATCGCTAATTACAGAGAACGAATCGACGGGATCGGCCGAAGCCAATCGCGATTGAATTGAAGAGGGCACACAATCGCTGCTGGGCGACACTGAACGGGAAGATCAACGAGAACGAATCGCACGAAGAAGAAGAATGGAGACGAGGGTTCGATGACAGATAGACTCAAAGGGTTGCGCATGTGTGTAGGATGGGGATGAGAGGGGGACCGCTGGCAGTACGAGTTCGGTGGTGGTCGCGACTGGGATTTAATGGGTCAACGGCTGGAGTATCATCCCCCATTGCAGCGAACTAGTCCACTATGGCGTTCGCTGTTACAGGATGATGCAGCGTCGAAGGTGAAACTTTTTTATTTTTGCCTTTGAAAATCGGTTAAAGCAAGAACTACTTAGTAGTTCGGTTGCCTGGGATGTTACGTGCGACCAGGAAAGCACCGTTGTTGGGGAAAGAGCGACGGAGCCGTTACTTATAGCAGACAGAGAGGGAGAGACAGATTTTTGATTGAGCCTGTCGGAATGGCTGGCAACGACCAACCGCCGCTGCCATTTCCAGCACCCCCCCCCGCCACGCACCTCCGTCGACTCACTCTTCACCAGCGGCGGCAGTGGCGGCAGCGGCGGCGGCGGCAGGGGGCCAAGCGGGACGGGCTTTTGGCCCGATGACCCTGGTGTCTCGCTTCTTGGAATTTAGGCCAGTCTCGATTCTTGCTGACTTTTCCGCGACATGAGTTATTGGCGACCAGAAGTTCCAGAATCATCAAACATCGGCGTACTAGTCAGCTTCGTTATCCACCAGTTGCCCTTAAAGCCATTTTCGTAAATTTGTTTCACGATGGCAAACAAATTAAGTTTTAGGGGGAGAGGATGAAACTAGAATGTTACTTAGGTACTTGCAGTAGTTTTCCTTAAAAGTGACAAGCTATGATTATATATCTATAAAATGGAAAATTATGATTAGAGATTTAAATAAGCGGGCTCTGAAAAAACAGGAAGAAGAAAGATATAGTGCCTGAATGATGTCTATTTTTATTTTGTTCGAAATAGAGGTCATTATCGAAAAGCTGTTGAACTGGCTTTCTCATTTATTATCAAGAGTAGTGTTGTACATTTATTTAGATTAAATCATGTCAAACAGTGTCATTTCAAGAGGGATCTTGAGTTGCAATCGGAATTTTACACTTGGGAACGAAATGAAGTGCGTTGGCAAAGTAAGCAATTACCAAAATGAGCTACTAAGCCAAACGTATCTAGACGAGACCTTCGGGTCAATTATATGTTGAAACTTGGCATCTTCGAGGGGAGTTTGGGAGGCTTTGCCGTTGAGTTCAAAACGGCCATTACCTCTTCAATCAAAGGCCGAGAACTAGCAATGGGATAAGCACACCACAACCCCAGAATCATCAAGGCCTCTGCCTGTTTGTTGTCGAAATCCTTGCCGAGCCTCTCGTCCACCGGATGGTAAAGATTCCAGAACCAGCGCCCCCACCAGCTCCCGCACCCACTACGCTTCCAAACCCATCGAACAAGGCCGCCATGCTCTGCTAGTTCTGAGACGGAGAATCTTCTCCCACATAATATTTCCAAAAGGAAGACTCCGAAACTGTAGATGTCAGATTCCTTACTTGCCTTACCCATTCGAAAGTATTCCGGAGCCCAATAACCCAGTGTTCCTTTCACTCGAGTCGTGTTTGGGTCTCTGGCATGGTCAACTAGCTTAGCCATGCCAAAATCTCCCAATTTGGCCTCGAAGTTTTTATTCGAGCATAACGTTGCTGGATTTGATATCCCGGTGGATCACGCATTGACGAAATTGTTTGTGCAAGTAGTGCAACGCCGAGGCTAATCCCAGAGCGATGTTGTACCTCCTTTCCCATGTCAACGGGGGGCTACGTTTAAACAGATGATTGTCCAAGCAACCTCCTCTAATGAATTCGTAAACCAGGACGAATTCATTCGACTCGTGACAATAGCCTATGAGTCGCACCAGGTTTATGTGCCCAAAGTGCATTATTTCCCACCGGCATATCATTGCTCATGGTAGAAGGACGAGCGACATTTGACCTATTACGTACCCAAACAATTAACATGACAATGACAATGATCACTGCCGATCCAATGAGACAGACCACGGCTATAATCACCCTATCCTGCCAAGAGTTGGGAAACTTTTTAGCCCGGAGCCGTAAACTGGAGCTAAATTCCCATGAATGGACAATGTGATACTCAAATGCAGCTCCAGTGGCAGCTGAGAAACCAACCTCCACCTGCTCTGGCAAAAAATCCCTGAAGCTGAGTGGGGCATAGTGAAGACTGACCCTATTACTGGAATTATCTGCATCCATCAAGACAACGCTCAAATTTCTCGCCTGTGAATCGTACTTTACCGAAGCATTAACCAACCCGCCATTCATGATTTTGTCGGTCAACCATGAGACGGTGACATTGGCCACGGACCTGAGGTCGTTCACATCTATACCAAGATGTGGAGCGTCCGGATCCCAGGGATTCCTGAAAGTGTCAACCTCAACCGCGACATAAGTGTTGCGGAAGTCAAGCAATCAAATAATAAAATTGACAGAATAAGAAAATAAATCGGACACCAGATTTACGTGGTTCAGTCGTAGTGACCTACGTCCACGAGGAGAGCAGCAAGACGAAATTCCACTATGTATCAAGAGATGCAACTGAGATTACAACTACACTGAGTCACTCAAACACTCTCGGTGTTTCTCAAGCCCCAATTACACCAAATAACTCACGTAGTGTTTAGCCCCACAATTCCTCACGAAATAATCTCTCAATCTCGCGAAGGAATTATACACAATCTTACCACAAGATTTAATCGCTACTAACACTTGAATTCTTGGTGTAATTCCATGAAGAAAATCCCACGCCAAGCGCTCAACGAAACAGAGCTTCAAGACTCACATCCATGGCGGCACTTCAAGACTTCTTCGTAACCAACGAAACAACCCACTGCCCACTCTCATCAATAACGGCGTGCATATGTATATATACCCAAGAAGAGAACGTGGCCGACACAGAATTGGAAACCTGCATATTTCGGTCAACAAAGTATGGTTTGGACTTTCCCTTTGTTGACCGTGACTCCCACTAGAATTAGGAAAGAATAATATTCTTTCTTTCTTCATTGTTTCCAATTTCATATCAGGAAATATCCAATTTAAAATATTCAGACCTCCACACAAATAACAATTAATCTTAGGTTAAGTTTCGTTCATGGGATCAAACTCGAGGCATATTTTTAACAATCTCCACCTTGGCTCGATATTTGAGCCAAGTCACAATCGCTTTAATAGAATCCGAATTTCGCTACTACTCTCCCACAGCTCCCGATGGGCTCAACCACCACAGATGTCTTTCAAGTCCAAGCCTCGCTTGAACTTTGCCATAACCGTGGACCTCATCAGAATACCAACTCCACATACACCTTTAACCGCTCCACAAGGATTTTCCGACACAATCTCCTCAATCACAAATAAAGCAAAACCATCGTTACATCCATATCTATCGGGAGATTGGATACGCACCTTGTCAATTTCAGCAGTTACAGCAAATGTTGGCTCAATAGGCTCCACCTCGCTACAAGCACCATCTGTGCCGATTACTTCGTTAGTACCGCTACCTCAGGAGTTTCTGGTTGCAACTCCACCTCAAGCTGAACACCGTTCAGATCCGTATAAACACTGTTATTAACATTCCTAGCCAAAAGTACTGGAAACTCGTCAAATGTAAGTTCTCTGCTGATAATAGGTGAATTTAATTCCGGGCACCAAAACCGATAGCCCCGTTCATCGTGTGCATAACCTAGGAACATGCACTTTCTTGTCCTTCCATCCAGCTTACCATTACTAACTCGAACATAACATGGACAACCAAATATTCTAAGAACAGAATAATCAACAACGTTACCTGACCACACTTCTTCGGGAGTCCAACATCCAATCGCAGTCGATGGGGATATATTCTTTAGGGAGCTCGCCGTACTAAGCGCATCCGCCAGGAATCTCCTAGCCATACCAGCACTAGAGAGCATTATATGGGCCGTCTCTAGTAATGTTCTGCTCATCAACTCTGCAACCTGTTGTGGTTCAATGGCACTAGTGCGGTGTTTCACTATGCCTTCATTCATGTAGAATTCGTTTAACAGCTCCGAGCAAAACTCCATACTATTGTCAGTCTGCACTTGCTTGATTGATTCACCGGTCTCCTTTTCGATCAAAGTTTTCAACTGCCTGATCCTGATAACAGCATCAAACTTGTGCCTTAGCACAAACACACACGTCTTCCTCGAGTAGTCATCAACAATTGTTAGCATAAATCTGGCACTCTTCCTCGAAGGAAATCGCGACAACCTGCGAACATCTAAGTGAATTAATTCTGCAATTACCGTGGTTTCTCTGACAACCGTACTAAACTGCGCTTTCCGCCGTTGATCTAAATCACAGCACCTACATACATTCAGTTCGTTAGCCACATAACCACATAGCAAATTTCTTTCACTTAGAACCTTCAGGCTTCTCTCACTAATGTGCCCCAAACGCATATGCTACAATTCAGACTCTCGAACCGATCCATTCGACGTCTCCGCGGTGAATTCTATCACTGTCTCACCTTGAAGTTCATACAGGCCACTATGCTTGATTCCTTTCATTATCACCAAGGCACCTCGAACAACTATCAAAAGTCCACATTCTGAAGAATACCGACACGCAGCTGAATCCATGGCACTCAAGGAAATCAGATTTTTCTTCAACTCTGGAACATGCCTCACTCCAGTCAATGTCCACACGATACCATCATGCATTCTGATTCTAACGTCACCAACACCAATAACATCGCATTCAGCCTTGTTCCCCAACTGCACTTTATTACTATCCGTGCACTGATAAGTAGTGAACCAGTTCCTGTTTGATATAGCGTGAAAAGAACAACCAGAATCCATAATCCATCTGTCAAACGACAAATCATCAATGACAGACAAGATATAATCGACATTATCCGAATCACCATAAACTATAGCTGCAACATCATCCGCAGGATCAACTCTAATTCCCTTACCCTTGTCATTTTTTAGCTTAAAGCAATCCCTTCTAATATGCCCCCTCTTGCCACAACTCCAACAGACAATACCACCAGTCCTAGACTAACTTCGTCTATTCGAGTTCATACTACTCCTACTAACACATGTACCAGTTCTTCATCTATTTTCACCTACTACAGTAGCAGATACATGTTCGCCAGATTCTCTTCTACGAATGTCCTCACTCAGAATTAAATCTCGAACACCATCAAACGTCAAACTTGTTGAGCCAAAGGAATTACTAACAGCAGTAACGGTAGTATTCCAACTATCAGGCAATGAGGATAATAGAATCAAAGCACGTACCTCATATTCAAAGTCAATCTCAACTGAACTCAATTGACTAATGATCACATTGAATTCATTAACATGATCAGCAACTGACGCACCTTCGCTCATCTTCAAATTAAACAGACGTCGCATCAAGTAGACTTTGTTGATCGCAGAGGGCTTCTTGTACATGTCCGATAGGGCTTTCATCAATCCCGCAGTGGTCTTCTCATTCACGATATTAAACGCGACGTTACGTGCCAACGTCAGCCGAATATCACCCAAAGCTCGTCTATCCAGCAATTCCCAATCATCTTGCTTCATCATCTCTGGCTTCTCCCCATACAAGGGCAAGTACAGTTTCATCTGATATAGATAATCCTCAATCTGCATCTTCCAGAAACCAAAATCTTTCCCACCAAATCTGTCGATTTTCACTTTTCCTTCTTCTGTCGTCATCGATTCGCTTCAATTTAAGCAAGCCTAGCTCTGATACTAATTATTGCGGAAGCCAAGCGATCGAACAATAAAATAAATCGGACACCAGATTTATGTGGTTCGGTCGTAGTGACCTACGTCCACGAAGAGAGCAGCACGGAATTCCACTATAGATCAAGCGATACAACGGAGATTACAACTACACTCGAGTCACTCAAACACTCTCGGTGTTTCCCAAGCCCCAATTACACCCAATAACTCACGCAGTGTTTAGCCCCACAATTCCTCACGAAATAATCTCTCAATCTCGTGAAGGAATTATACACAATCTTACCACAAGATTTAATCGCTACTAACACTTGAATTCTTGGTGTAATTCCATGAAGAAAATCCCACGCCAATCGCTCAACGAAACAGAGCTTCAAGACTCACATCCATGGCGGCACTTCAAGACTTCTTCGTAACCAACGAAACAACCCACTACCCACTCTCATCAATAACGGCGTGCATATGTATATATACCCAAGAAGAGAACGTGGCCGACTCAGAATTGGAAACCTGCATATTTCGGTCAACAAAGTATGGTTTGGACTTTCCCTTTGTTGACCGTGACTCCCACTAGAATTAGGAAAGAATAATATTCTTTCTTTCTTCGTTGTTTCCAATTTCATATCAGGAAATATCCAATTTAAAATATTCAGACCTCCACACAAATAACAATTAATCTTAGGTTAAGTTTCGTTCATAGGCTCAAACTCGAGACATATTTTTAACAATAAGAGTCCTTGGGAAGACCTAGCTGGCCTCCTCCCAAGCCTCTCGGCATGCTGAAGCCCCAAGGAGCGATAAAGAAGGTCAGTCCGTCGCCAGAATCGTTTCTATGTCGAGAGTCGATGCTGAACATAAACCCGGCAGTGAAATCCGCCTCATTCCCCGTGGCCTTGTCCCAAAGATGCACTTTCCTGGAATACGTAGCTCGGCCGCTGATGCCGTTCAGGCTCTGGTTCGGTTGGCAGAGGCTGAGATGTAAGTAAGGAGATAGCACAGAGGCGTTCCTCTGAAAGTTTAAGAGCTTGAGGCTCTCATAGCCAAAGGATGGGAAATTGAAAGATGCGTTGTCAAAGTGTGTAGCTGAAGCTGAAAAGGTTTTGAGCAAAGAGATAATCAAGACTAGTACTAATGTGGATGTGGATGTGGATGCTTGAGGCTGATCTTCGTGCCTTCCAAAGCTTTTCATGCTGGATGTTCATAATTTGTTGCACATCTGGTTACTGCCTGTGAACTCAAAAGCACCGTGTGGAGCCGTAACGGGCAGCTCAACATCTTCAATCATCATTCTCACCGCTCGGCTTTGATTAAAACCGAAAAAAGTGGTTCGTGCACCAAACTGCGGTGCCCAAGTGACAATCGCCGCGGCGAACCTCGAACTGAAAAGTGCATTGGCTCAGCGGGATTCGATTGGAACATAGAAATGGCCTCGACGAATGGCGTGTTACTAGGAAACATGCAGAATGTGGTTGAGAATGGCCGGCTCAAAGGTCTGGTTTATCATACGCGGGAGAATGTTCGCAGGAAACATATTACCAGTCTGATTAGATGATTGGGTGGCGGATTAAAAATAATTAAGGGCATCATCAGATGAAAATGTAGATCAAGGATACTATAATGAGTCAAGTCTTTATTGTTGAGCGTCAGAGGCACGGCAACAATATTGATTTGATGAAAGGAATTTTTGAAGGTGAAACAATCGCAATTCGCGTCTTTCTATTGCATATCTCAATTACAAGAGAAATAGACTATATATAGACCATAGTTTGATTCGAAATAGGAAATCTCTTTCTAGGAAACCTATTCTAATTAGGAAATCTAATTGACTTAGGAAACTTTCCTAAAATATAACTAGAAACAATATCTCACAATATCTATCAAAATATGGAAATACGAACAAACTCAAAAAGGAAACAAGTACTAACAAATTTGGTTTAATTTCTAACACTCCCCCCTAAACCAAATTCTCTTCCATCGATCATTCCAAGCAGGCTCTTGAACTTTCGAAAAGCATCGATCTTGAGAGGTTTAGTAAAAATATCTGCTACTTGATCTCCGGTCTTCACATGCAATACTTCAACTTCATTCTTTTTAACCTGTTCTCGGATGAAGTGATATCGAACATCGATATGTTTACTTCCTTACCAAAAAAAAATACATCGATATGTTTACTTCGTTCATGAAAAACTGGCTTTTTCGCCAAAGCAATAGCAGAAACATTATCAACAAAAATCTCCGTTGCTTTCTTCTGCTCCATAAGAATATCTTTGAGTAGTCTTCTCAACCATATTGCATGACAAACGCATGAAGATGCAGCTACATATTCAGCTTCACATGTCGACAGGGTAACACTTGATTGCTTCTTTGATGACCACGTGAAAGCAGTGTCACACAAGAAAAATACAAATCCCGTGGTGCTTTTTCGATCGTCGATATCTCCACCATAATCACTATCCGAATAAGCTCTAAGTTTGAAAGATTCAGAGCAATAATAGTGTAAACCATGAGAAATAGTACCTTTCATGTACCGAAGTATTCTCTTTGCAGCTTTAAGATGAGATGATTTCGGCTTCTCCATGTATCGACTAACAATTCCAACACTATACATAATATCTGGTCTCGTGCATGTCAAGTATCTCAAACTCCCAATCAAGCTTCTATACTATGTTGAATCAACATCGGCACCATCATCAAACTTCGAAAGTTTGGTTCCGCACTCCATTGGTGTATTGACCGGCATACAGTTCTTCATGTTGAATTTTTCAAGGATATTTTCTGCATATCCTTTTTGAGAAATAAAAATCCCATCGGCACTTTGCTTCACTTCGATACCAAGGAAATAATTCATGAGACCATTATCGGTCATCTCAAATTCTTTCACCATCGATGCCTTAAAAGCATCAATCATCGCCGAATTATTTCCTGTAAAAACAAGATCATCAACATATAAACAGGCGAGTGGAATATCACCTTTTTCTTGCTTCAAATAGAGTGCATGCTCGTATGGACATTGAGAGAATTCCATTCGCCTTGAAATATGCATCAATTCTGGAATTCCATGCTCTCGGTGCTTGTTTAAGCCCATATAGAGCTTTCTTCAACCTTAGCACTTTGTCTTCATAACCTTTCACAACAAACCCCTCGGGTTGTTCAACATAAATTTCTTCTTCAAGGATGCCATTCAAGAATGCTGATTTGACATCCATTTGATAAATCCGCCAATTATTTTGAGCAGCAATGGAAATAATCAATCTAATCGTTTCAATGCGAATGACAGGGGCAAAAACTTCATCATAGTCGATTCCGGCTTTTTGCTTGTACCCCTTCGCGACTAATCTAGCTTTGTACCTTGTCACTTCACCTTTCTCATTCTTCTTGGCCTTGTACACCCATTTAACACCAATTGATTTCTTGTCCTTCGGAAGATTAGCAAGCTCCCATGTTTGATTTTTCTCGATGGCTTCAATTTCTTCATTCATGGCTTTCCTCCGCTTTTCTTCTTTGGCCGCATCATCATAAGCAAGTGGTTCATAATCTGCAAGAAGACATATAAAATGAAGCTCTTCGGTAGCTTCGTAAATTTCAGACAATCTTCTTGATCTTGGCACTAGCGGTTCATCGACACTATTTGAAGAGGATGGTGTTGATGAACTTGAATAAGATGTTGGAGAAGAAGGTGAAGGTTGATCTTTCAACTCCGTTTGATTGGAATCACCACGAACATTCGCTTCTTCTTTTGGATTTTCTTCCCACATTCCATTTTCATCGAACTTGACATCTCTACTTACATACACTTTCAAAGTGTTAGGGTCAAATAATCGATAGGCTTTAGATGATGAGTCATACCCGATAAAGATGAGCTTTTTGCTCTTGTCTTCAAGTTTCGATCTTTTTTTATCCAGGACATGAGCATATGCAATGCTCCCAAAAATTCTCAAGTGTGAAACACTTGGTGTTCTCCCGGTCCATGCCTCTTGTGGAGTTACGCCTTCAAGTCCATATGTTGGACATCTATTTTGAAGATAGACGGCACACGAAATAGCTTCTGCCCAAAGTTCTTTGGACAAATTTTTGCTCTTCAACATGCTTCGAACCATATCAAGAATGGTTCTATTTTTCCGTTTAGCCACACCGTTTTGTTAAGGAGAATACGGGGCCGTCAAGAAACGCCGAATACCATGATTTTCACAGAATTTGTTGAATATGGCTGAGGTGAATTCTCCACCACGATCAGTCCTCAAAACCTTGATAAAATAGCCGCTTTCCTTTTCAGCCAAGTTCTTGAATTATTTGAAAGTATCAAACACTTCTGTCTTTTCTTTCAAAAAATACACCCAAGTTTTCCGAGTAAAATCATCAATAAAAGTAACAAAATATCGATGATTATCATATGAGTGAGGATTGATCGTGTGATATCCTGAAACCTAAATTTTAACTAGTCATTTAGGAACAATTGCATAGAAAATTAGGGATTGATTTTTTAACCCCTAAACAAAAAAATATAATTAGATGGCACTGGATATAGATATTAGGAGCATTTCATTAATAATTAATTAGGCCCATATAGTTTGCACATTTATCGGACATACGGCAGATGGACTCGAGCGAATGGTTCACGAGCTTAATTCAATCAAGCCCATGACCAAAAGTCACATGTTTTGCACGTGTTATCTTCGGTTGCAAGAGATCTTCTGTGTATATATTTTTCTGCCACTTGGAGGACCGAGAAGGAAGGGAGATTCATTATATTTGGCCATATTGTCAGAAGATAGGAGGGGTAATATCCTAGCCGCACGTATCTTTAATCCATGGACAGTAATTGGCAATATATCTTTTGTGAAATTCCATTAAAAAATCTTGGGCATCACGAAAAGATAAGGAAACATTCTTCACCAAGGCGAGGGCAATATATCAAGCAGATTTTGTTTCTTGGTATCTTTGTGCAAAGAAAAAATATATGAAGGATACAAGAAGAGGAAAACAGAATCGGTCAACGTGGGGATATATAGTTGGAATTACGTTCTGGCGTCATAGGCGCAAGCGAAAAAGGAAAGAAGCCAACGTAATATGCTTTAAATATTCTTGAGTGGGTCTCTTTCTAAAAAGGCATAGGCATTCTCACTTATAAAAGGATCACGTATGAGACAAGAATGGGGGCCTTTTTTTTTGGAGAGAGGACATACGAGAAAAACACACGTGAGATTGAGAGAGAAGAGTTCGCTGCGTACGCGTGCTGCCGCTATGCCACGCTGCCCTTCCGCTGCGTCCGCGACTGCCTTGCTGCCGCACCCTCGCGTCACCTGACGCCCACCGCCTCGCTGCCGTTGCTTCCGGAGCTACTGTGGCTCCTGCACCGATCCCCACCTATCGCCGTTGCCACCCAACCGCGGTGAAGAGCCGTTGTTGTTAGCTCGACGACGCTGCCGTCTCGAAGCCCTGCTGCCCCAATCCGACGATTCACTTTCGCTGTTGGTAGTTTGGCTAGTTAGTGTTTTAGTGTGTTTGAACTTCTAGAATGAGCATTGGCGAGTCTTGATTGCTAGACTAAGTTGAAATAGATGTTGAATGTTGATTTGAACTCTTGGTGTGGTATTTTCATGGCTGAGAAGTGGTGGATCTCAAAGTTGAAGGCGTTTCTTGAAGTTTTTATCTTGCTTTCAGAACTGATTTTTACTGTACGTCCCTGGATTTCCATTTTTATACGGAATTTTGTGGTTAGAATCTTGAAAGGTGTTCTTCATAAAAGTTGTTCACAAGATCTTGATCTATAACATACTTAAATTTCAGATTTTTCTGAGCTCAAATGGGTTACAGGAAGGTCCGATTTCTTACCGAATTAGAACTGTTTTATACTGTGGATTCCGTGACCTTCGTGCCTTCTCAGATTTTTATAAAACTTTCCAGTTCGATTTCGACCATACTTCCTTCACAATATTTGTAAAGGAAATTCATGTCTACAACGTGTAAAAATTTCAAAGTGTTTTGAAATGATTTGATTTGTAAAACGAGTATTTCTTTTGGTTCAGTTCCCCTGTTCCGGCGGACCAGTTCTGGGTTGTTTCCAAACCATCAAAAGTGATCTTTGTATAAGGATCTGGCGATTGTGTTCTTCATGGAAAATATTTGTGAAGGTCTTGTTTATAACATATTCGAATTTTATAATTTTTGGAGACCATTTGCTATGCTTTTGAAGTTGATCCCCCAAATCATGCAAATCTGTCCAGTTTTACTAGAATTCCATAATCTGCCGGTTTTTACTTGAAATCTTTGGCTTTCGATTTCCGGACT